TTGGCTACATATTATTATCGTTGCAGTGGCTATAATCCGGCGATTCCTGGCCGGTAATAAAACCAACGCGTTTCGAAAATGCACCATATTGAGCAATTTATTTGTGTACCGTAACGTACACACATAATATTATATTATTATAACGGCGACTGGCCGGGCAATAATTATTGCCGTTCGACCACAGTTAATTATAGTAAGCGTAGAGGTATTCGATTTCTCCAAACGTGTGAATTAGAACTATATACCTAATTTTCTTCACTTATTACCTGCTGTGTATAATGACTATAACGTGTGAACATTGATTGATTAATGAATACAAATAATCGTACACGGTATCTTATATTGACGAGGAAAATTAAATATTTACTGTACCTATTAAGAAAATTTTACAGAAATTCTACCTTTGTCGGGTATTTTTGTCCTTCGAGAGTCTCATCCCCGAAAACCGGTGGACCTAGGGCCGAATTTGGAAGATAATATTGTTATGTAGATGACAAAGGTTGAACGGACGTTTTCGCGGCGAATGATGAACATCTGATGAACTTAATAAAATGGATGCAGACATTTTTAAAGGTTTTATCTACGATGTCTCTATATTCTATATCATGGTCAACGATAAGGTTTAGGTACTAAGTAATATAATATAATATGATATTATGCAATGTGTATGCTGAGATTGCTACAAATCATATACTCTGTATAGTCGACGGATCGCGGTTGTTAATTTCTATCTGTGGCGTCGGTCTACAAATCGTTAGTGTTTAATGGTTTACTTGAGTAAATTATTAAAATATCAAATAATGCGAAATAGTAAATTTTATATAAGATAATAAATGATTTATATTAGATAAAATTAATCGTGACTAATGACTATAAATAACGATAAAAGTTGTTTAATTTTTTAATATTGACCTACAAAATACAAACTTGAATGTACTGTGCTTAACTTAAATAAGTGTTAGCACAAGTAAATTATCAATATTTAAGTATGTAGAACGACATTAATACTTAGTTAGTGAATGTAAATTGTAGTACTATGTAGTTATTGAGTTAATTTGCTTAATTATTATGTTGCATCTGATATTCTGATATTAAAAAGAACCTGCTCTGCTGTATAGTAATTAGTAGCCAGTAGGTGTCAAGTGTACGTTCAGAACCTATACATATAACGTCAGTGTAATGTAGTTAACTCTAAAGTTTTAAATTAGAATTCAATGTTAAATCTTTGTTTACAAAAATCAGTTTTGAGCGGAGACCTACTGTCAATATTTTGTAATATTTCTAAGGATATTTCACTATATCTATTTTATGAATATTTCTAACGAGTAACTTATTTTTGTATTAGAAAATAATAATATGGGTAGCGGTGAAATGTTTCGAATTTAATTCTCAATAATTTGATTCTCAATTAATAATATTTTTGTAAATAACTAATAATATCGTTATTTTTGTTTAAATATCCCATTTCTTCAAAATGAGTAAGTATATAAGTATATTATTGATTAAAATGTTTATGGAAAAAAATTTGCGTAGTTCGTTTTTTTTAAATTTCACAATAAAATTCTCTACGGTTATTCAATTTTGAATTACAATAAAAAAAAAAATTGATTTTGTCAAAAACCGGTCTCGTGCAAAAATTCCAGTTCGTCGATTTTAATAAAAATAAATCTATCGGTCCGCTTAGAATCCAAATCTCTATCATAGTGGTTTGTTAAGCTATACCCAGGTATGCATTATATCATGTGCCAAAATTATTTGTTCAAGTATAAAAAAATAATAATATGTAGGACGCGTAGGTAGAATACGTAGTAGGTATATCACAGTAATTAATGAGGGGCGCGTCTAGTCGTCGGGAGTCTCCAAAACATTTTATTTGTTCTCAAAACAATAGGTATGATAATTCTTTATGTGCCTAAGAGAGTGACTAACCAGACTACATGCTTACCAGTTACCGTGTGAATGGGCGTCTAAAAAATTAATAATTATTTTCATAATTTGAATACCAGAACTGTATATACGTTTAATGTTTAATGATGACAGTTTCGGTTGCACAAACGTATAATTTAGGTTTTTACCGTAATATATCTATTGCATAGTAGTTGTTTTTAAATGTTTAATAATCATTATTTTTGTTTTTATGCAGTCCATCATCTATTTTTATTCAGTTAATTAATTGTTATTTACACAGAATTATTATACAAATAGAATATTATGACGTAATAACTAGCTGACACGGCAATGTTTTGCTATTGCTAGGTTTTTGTGATTATACGAGCAGTATAATACTATCAGGTAGGAAATCTGCCTGTGTGGTGCTTACGCAAGTAGTGTAATTTAACTCTGAAGTATCAAAAAATTCAAAAACTGAAACCCTGGTTCAAACTCAATACCGAGTTTACTTAGTAACGAAAATACAAAGGCTTATGTCATTAATAATAATAATTATTATTGTTAAAACCAATAGCAACCATTTAAATAAAAATAAAAAATAATAATCTCAAAATTCCTGTTTGAGAACTGCCCCTGGTTGCAGTGGCGTAATTAGGAATTTAGTTTTGGGGGAGGGGATATACGTTTTCAGCAAACATGAATGGTCATTATCAAATATCAATGCTTTGATCAAAATGTTAGCAGTAAAAAAAAAGTTTTGGGGGGGGATTTACGATTTGATTCATTACTATTACTATATAATGAAATATAATTTTCCCACGTGTTAATCAACGCTGTGTCAAGACGCTTTGGCATAGGTATAGGTAGGCTTGCATTGAGTAAGTAAAGCTTGTAGTGTCGAGGACTCTCCCAAATAACGGACATTTTAAAAACGAATAAAAAAAAAAAAAAAAAAACATTTGACATAGGTAACGAAAAAATTTACGGAACTCAGAAACGGACGACAGGTGATTGACTTTAGTATCATATTATGATATTAATATGTTATCTGGTTATCAGACAATTGTCATGAAATCTGACTTTATTCGTTATAGATATTACGTACCTACATTATTTTTATACGGTTGGGTAACTCTCGTTTTTCATTCCATAACGAGAGTAATATGCCACCCTGTCATGTTAATAATAATAATAAATATAATATAAGTATTTATTAATAATCACAAATATTAAACAACAGTACCTATTTATATCATATGCCCATAATATTTAATATTATGTGTAAGGTTTTTTTTATTAATCAGCATTTTCCACTTACGACACGACAACTCTATAATTGCCCTACATTTACCGCATGGCACGTGCAATTATAATTATTGTTAATATTATCAGCTATAATGTAATGGTTTAGGTTCCCCAGTGGGAATTGGCCATGTTTAAATATAATATATTACTTATATAATTTAAAACAGAACTGGGATTTTTTTGCTACACCGAAAGTGGAAAAAAAAATGATATAACGCAAGTATAGAAACCGTAAAAAATCATGTGACGAAAATTATTTTGCCTCTTAATTGTTCTGCTGGCCATGATAATTATTATTATCACCTTCCAGAGACTGTTCAATTCCCGACGTCCTTTGTCTTGCGCACGCGCGAACGGAAACGCGATATGATTATAATTAATAATTATAATATGTATATTTATTAGGCCCCGGGCGGTTTCATTCGAATCTATAGATAGGTAATAATATCATTACGTTTTATACAAATACTACAAACGTTTACAATAATAATAAACGCATTGCACCTAATATTATTATTATGCGTTTCTTTTCTCCTGTCCGAAACGTGTAGTGCAGTAGCACACTCGAAATTGATAATCGGTTCCGTGTCCACTCATCAGACCACGGGGTGCAGCGTACCACCACGCGATGGCGGAGAATATTTTGGTAAATTCCATATTATTTCGTGTCGTACACTAACGCACGGGTTCGGGTAGGTAGGTACCAGTAGGTGGGTAGATACCGGATAGGTAGGTAGGTAGGTAGGCAATAAAGATATTATATGGTTACATACGAATGCGTATTATACAACATATCTGTCCGATTTTACACTCGTGTGTGTCGTATATAATTTTAATATTTTACCAGATTCCATTAAAAAAAAAATGATAATCATAATGCTCGTTCACGAGTGCGTCGGTATAATAATAATAATAATAATATTATTATCATTGTTATATTATAATATTTATAGGTAGGTATAATACTACCATAATACGTTAGCAACACGATCGGCTGAAGGGTCTCGCGCGGGGAACCATAGAAGAATTGATGCGTTTCACCGGCGTGGCGTATATTATAATATTAGTTGTATAGTAGCATAGAAGCCAGCCGAATCCCGACTGACAAATGTGTATATATACAGTGACAGCCAGCCATGACCGCCTACCGATTACTCATGTATTAAACACAATATAATATATATATATATATAAATACGTATATATTAAGCGCAGCGTATATAATATTAGTGTAGTATGTATAAATGTATAATAATAAGTTGTAGTTTGTACGAGTGGCGTGTACGTACACGAAACTTAAGCGGTAATACGGTGTATAATATTCATTATCGTTATTACTGATTATTGTTATTCTGATAGTCTCATTGAATAATATTTAATATAATAATACTGCGGGTACCGTTTCAAACGTCATTCGTTTTTACGTAATCAATAATATATTATTATTTTTTTGTTCGTTTTACATATTACTACTATTATTATTATTGTAGGTTACCACAGCTAGGTAGGTACCTAAACAAGCCCGGATTAAGGATCAATTGGGCCCCGGGACTCCATACACTTAGTGGGCCCCCTTTCAAGTTTAACTTCAATATAATTTTATCACTAGGTACATATTGATATTAAAGACTGTATATTGCTATTGTATAATTTTGTACTATACAAAATATATATATATATATATATATACATATAAATATAAGACTGATAAATATATTATATTTTATTAATTATTATACATAATATATTACATTATTACATATATATATATTTAAAACATACTTTTATAGGTTACTAGAGATATTTTATAACTTTAATTTTTTCCTTGCTTTCTCTTTTGCAAATTGTTTTAATGTTTCATTAAAATCTATTAATTGCAAAATATCATTTTCTGAATGTAATATCATTAACGATGTCAAATTGTCTTGAGTCTGGCTTGTTCTATATTTATTTTTTATTCTTGTTAGTTTGGAAAATGCTCTTTCGGCCGAACAATTGGCCACTGGGATAGTTAAATATAATCTAAGAGCAATTAAAATGTTTGGGAATACATCCTGCAATGATTTATCATAAAACCATTTTAATAACTTAAAAGTATCACTTTCATTAAATGATACATTACTTAAACTTAAAAAATTTTGAAATTGAATAATTTCATTTTCAAGTGAAGCGTCAACATCATTTTTATATGTGAAAATACAATTCCTTATGCTCTCTTGGATTGCACTATCTGAATCTGGTGGACAACTTAATTTAGTAATAAATAAAAAATGTGTAGAAATATAATTATATGCAGCAATTCTATTTTCAAGTTCTAAAACAAATTTATCTATAATAACATAATGAGTTTCAACTCTCATTTTGTCCTTTCCTTTATATATAATTTCTTTTTTACTACCACTATTATCATCAGGATACTTTTTTTTTCTTATTCTTTCAGTTTCATTCTTGTACGTCTTGCCAATATATTGACTTAAGTGTATGATTTTATTTTCATAAATCTCACTAGAGTCTCTTAAACTTGACACATAATGCCTTAACGATTTTAGCAAGTTGACGGCTTTTAATGCATCACAGTGTTTGTTTTGCAATTCAATTGAAGTTTTATTGCTTCTCTCCAATATATCACTCCATAATAATGTAAGATAAGCAATCTCTCTTTTTAACATTTTTTTCCATAATATTGTAGCTTCTCTTTTTGTTTCACCATTTTCATTAACATTTTCACACAGTTTTTGTAGAGCTTCAAGGATTTTTTCATAATTACCAATTAATGCTTTACAAGCTTCAGAATGGCACGACCACCTAGTACCACTTAACGATTTAAGTGTAATTAACCGGTGTTTATCATTTGTATCTAACTTATCTGTAAGTATTTTCCATCTATGCGTAGAACTGCTGAAAAAATTATACAATGTTTGTAAAAAGCCAAAAAAGTTTACTGCCTCGACACAACAATCCACACTGTGAACACCAACTAAATTCAATGAATGTGCTGTGCATGGTATATATACAGCAAGATCATTTTTACATTTGACATGTGCCTGCAATCCTTTAAACTTGCCACTCATATTGGACGCATTATCATAAGATTGTCCTCTACAATCTTCAATATTCAATCCAACATTTAAAAGAAATTTTTCTAAAACATTATAAATTGATTGACCTGTATGACTTTCAATAGGTTCCAATTCCAATAATCTTTCTTGTACATCTGACTTTGTACAATATCTAATAACAATAGCCATTTGATCCACTTTTGATAAATCTGGAGTAGAATCCATTATAATAGAATAGTATTTAGATATTTTTATCTCATTAGTAATATAGCAAATAACATCAGTTTTCAGTAAAAGTATAACTTCATTGAAAATAGTTTTTGAAATATATGATGGGTGCCCTTTTCCTTTATTTCCAAACTTTTCCAAATGATTTTTCAAAAATGGATCATATTCTGAAATTAATTCCAATATGCCAAGATAATTGCCATTATTATTGTTTCCAATTATTTCAGAATCCCCTCGATACGGTAAACCTCTAGCAGCTATAAATTTAACAACAGATACCACTCTTTTTAAAATATTAACCCAGTATTCAGTTTCAACAGATATTTGTCGAGACAATTCTGTATTAACTGATCTAGTTGTATCTGTCCGTATCAACCATTTTATTGTAGCTTCTCGATGTGCAATACTATTTTCATGTTCACCAATTCTATAACTTTTTTTCCATTTATCAAAACCAATGTTTACAAAAGGATTATCTCGAAGTGAACCAAATAATTTACAAACAAAACAAAATACAGAACCTTTACTTGGAGAATATAGCAACCATTTTCTATTACATTTCTCTCCATTGGATAGCATTCTATAGAAAACTGCAGAAGAAATATATCTTGTGTGATCAGTTCCTATAGTATATAAATAAAAACAAAAATGTTATTACCTAAATGTTAATGATTTAAGATGCTTGATTTCTGAAATATTAATTAATAATAAATGCAATTCAAGCTATTAAATTGAAAAACTACTTAAATAAATAAAAATATTATAATAATAGAGAACCAATAGGTATAGTATGTGATAACATTTTTAATATCTATGCAGGTATTACTATTATTTAACCATTATTGATTATATCAGTGATACTTAAATTTTAATTCATAAAAAATAGAAATATCATTGCATAACAATTTGTACTATGAGGTATTTATAAATTAAAAACCTATACTAAAACCTATAGGTAAATTGTATTACAATTTTTTTTATTATTATTCAATATTTGATTATTTAATTTAACAATATGTCAATATGATAAATATTTGGTTATAACTTATTACCTATTGTATATTAGGTGGTAGGTATAATATATTACTATATTGGTATCTACCTGATATAATACGTGCTGATTGCCTAAAATTGCTATCCATATTTTGGAAAAAAGTCGGTCCTTTATCGAGACAGAAACTTATAAATTTATTATTCAAATTATTTGGCCACTTAAATGGATCTTTGTAATATTCCTCATGATCAGCAATGTTATCTGTCAACAAATCAGACTTTTCAATTGCTGTACAGCTACTTGAACTTGGTACCAGATGAGGTAAAACTAATGTCTGATCATCAGTTTTTAAAACTAAGTCAAGAGTATCACTTGGAACAATTGAAGTAACAGGTTCTGGAAATATTAAATATGCAAGTTGTTGTAACAAATAAGTTAATTTACTACCTAATACTTTGTGTCTTTGTATGAGAATTTTAATGTTTTAATAATATTTCATACTTACCAATTTCTGTACAGGTACTTGAACTAGGTACCAGATGAGGTAAAACTGATGTCTGTTTATCAGTTTTTAAAACTAAGTCAAGAGTATCATTTAGAACAATTGAAGTAACAGGTTCTAGAAATATTCAAACATGTATGTTGTAGAAACTAATAAGTTAATTTACTACTTAATACTTTGTATGAGAATTTTAATGTTTTAATAATATTTCATACTTACCAATTTCTGTACAGGTACTTGAACTAGGTACCAGATGAGGTAAAACTGATGTCTGTTTATCAGTTTTTAAAACTAAGTCAAGAGTATCATTTAGAACAATTGAAGTAACAGGTTCTAGAAATATTCAAACATGTATGATGTATGTTGTAGAAACTAATAAATTAATTTACTACCTAATACTTTGTATGAGAATTTTAATATCTTGATAAGTCATACTTACCGGAATTAGAAGCTGTAAAGAAACCTTTAATTTTAGTTAGTTTTGAGGTAAATTGTCTCTCCTGTTCTTTTTTTTTTCTTTTTTCCGAGCCACTTAGATATTTTTTGGTACTACTCATTTTTATAATTGTTTATTAGGTAAGTTAATTGAATATTAACTAATGTCCAATAACTAATAAGTTATAAAAACTTGGTCTGTAACCACTATACGATTGCACGAAAACGCCGGAGTTACAAATTCTATTTTTAGTGTTAGTTATGATCACGGACTAAGATATAAATATCTTAGTCCGTGGTTATGATATCTCCATAGATAAGAATAATATATTAGATTGGACACACGATTTAAGATATTAGTATAATATTACCTCATGAGCATAGATCAAAAATACCTAATATCAATTATTACCACGTACTACGTACAATCATAGATAATAAAGATTATCATTAATGCGTACAACTCCCATTTTATACACTATCCACAAACTTCTATAGAGAAATCTGTGACCTCATCATACATCATATTGTTATCAATTATTTTCGTGATACAAAACATTTATGTTATAATTATTAATAATAATTTACCTACTAAAATATTTATTTTTTAAAAAAAAAAAACTGTTTTTAACGCGTTAAAAAATATATATTTTGGGGATAAAGATGGGCCCCCAAAATGGCCAAAATCAATGGGCCCCGGGACCGTGCCCCCCTTGGCCCCCCCCTTAATCCGGGCTTGTACCTAAATACCATTTATACAATTATTATATACCCACGTTCTTTTACTTCCAAAAGCGGTGTATAATAACATCGAAATACGTATTCGTGAAAGTCTCATTGCTCGTGGCGAATACGAAAGCGTCGTACAAAACAATATTATTGCGTACCTACCCATGTTTTCGTGTCCTTTGACGTTCACGTGCGTTTTTCGGAAAATTAAACGATGATTAAAAGGATCATTTTTATTTAAAAAAATAAAATATTATACGTATTTGTACAGACTACTTCTTACTACAGTATTTATAATCAATGTTCCCACTAATAATACTGAGTTCATAAAGTCATGTCGATCAGGGCACTCTAATTAGTTTCTGCAGCCTCGCCGTTGCTCAGAATTCAGATCCGACTTTTTTTTTATATATATCTTTAAAAAAAAAAAAAAAACGTACAATCAATTTAATTAAGTTGTAAACAATTGGACGAGCGACGGAAAAGAATAGCACAGAAATGTATTTTAAGTAACAAATTAATACAAAAAAAAATATAAATATACATATGTATACCTATAATGCCTGTTTAGTGTTGCCATTATTTACGGTGTTTTATATTATAATTAGGTCATGCACTATAATATTATTAAGAGTGTAAGACTATAATATTATTGTACAGTATCTACCTAGGTACCAAACTCTATAATATTATTAACTGAGAAAAGTTGTTTTTCGGCCGTCTGAAATCTCGCGACATAGTCCTACTTAGGATTATAATATTGTTGAATAAGTCAGTCGTCGTCTTTCTGAATAATCATTCTCAGCCCGACATTGTGCGTCAGCTTGCAAATTTATATGGTTTTAGATTTTCATAATTAAAAGTTACGATCGGGTTGAGAATGATATCCACACGGACCCTGTCCACCTTTCGGTTATTATATACGTATACCCGACGTCCCGACGATGATGATAACATGACTTGGAAACAAACTTAGTTAACTAGTGTTTCTACCGGGCCCAATCACGTAATACATTACTTTCTTAATATTATTATCATCATCGTCATCGTCCCACGGTCCCCCGGTGTATTTCGGTTCCTTATAATTTATCCTGCTCGAATTATTATTATTATTATTGGTTATATATTGTCAATTACGTGGCCGTCGGACGGTAAACAAAATAATATAACGTCCTAGAATAATAGTGATAATAATAATAACAATAATAATAATAATGATAAATTATTAATCGTACATGTCGGCTGACCTTGTACTAATTTTCACGAGACTCATATCATTATCATTTTCGCGTCCGGCGGATCACAATAATAATCTCATATATTATGATGTATGTGCATATATTAAACGATTTCCAGAGTTAAACAATGTCGGACCGAACAAAAAACCTGAAAAACCCGGCATATATTTTATAGACGCTTACGTGATTTTTGACCTACTATATATTGTCACAAAGGTGGTCCTTGAGCACACGCGATGATTACAACCATGCAAATCGTGTTAACTACAATGTACCCACCTCACCTGTACATATAACAGGCAACGGTATTCACTCTGATCGTTTTCGGTCCTGGAAAATATGAATATTATACGACTGAATTCGAGTTAGTGTATAGTTTTTATTTTTTTAATAATGCGTATTCGGATTTCGAACGAATATTACATGGCTTTATATGCTTTGCAAAAAAAAAAATGTAATAAAATAATTAATTTTCGAATGAATGATGCTGTACGGCTTATTATACTTGAAATTGATTCGAAAATACAATAACAATAAATTAAATCATAAATATTAATCATATTATAATATTATATATTTCCGGACGTTCCCCATAGTTTGCGTGCTCTTAGTTAGTTGATAGGCAGATAAGTGATAACCGGTCGTCAGGTTAGGTACAGAATTTCAAAATTGTCCATAGTTCGTCAGTGTTGCTCTGAAATGTATAACAAAAACTACAAAATAAAATGTTCTCTTTTATATTATTAGTGCACGGGACTTCAATAGAAATCGAACAATTTCAATCATGCACATGGATCATATCAAAAAAAATTTTTATCTATTAAACTTTGATCTGGACAATTACAACATATTATAGCTAGTACCTAGGTACTTATTTGTTTAATGTGATTAAACAACATTTTATTTCTACCACGTTATTTTGCTCTTTTTTTATGTTCAACTAACTCTCACGAAAAATTATTGATCGACTAATCAAGTGTATTAAAATATATTAATGTAATTTAAAACAAGCACCTCAACTTATTAAAACCGGAAAATTTAGTGTATTAATGAGCAACAATAAATATACGATTGTATATTATATATATATGTATAATGTGTGGCTGGCAAAAAGACGTTGACCTATTACGCATATATTATGTATTCGTTATAACCTAGATACTTAATTACTTTTTAAATAAATCCTGTTTGTAATTAAGGTTAAAAGACAAAAAAATATGCATTAAGTACACATGTATAATAATATTATTTTTAAGAGTGATTGGATTTTCGACTTATAGAAATTCTCAAATATTATAATATGTTAATCGTTGTGTAATCTGCACTCGTATATACTTATTATTGTGTGATAGTTTATTCGTACTTATGTGTACTGAGACGATTAAAAATATATTGCAATGTAAAACTGTTTTGTTCCGCCACGGTCGATGTGTTAGCAGGATTAATAACAACTGCAACATACCTCGTGTATATCATCATATGAATATTTTAACTACCGACCATAAACAAGTCGTGTCTCACTAATCTTTTCACACGTACTTCTTTAATCAAATTGAAAAAAAAAAAAACAACAACAACAACGACGAAATGCGAGATAAGTGAGAATGTCCGTTGTTGAAAAGAACCTCGTTCTCGAATATATACTCTAAGCAATCAAAGTTTATTTTGTTTGAAACGGTCTCGAGACGGCTCATTTACACTCGGAGGTTAATGTCGAAAAAAAAAAAGAATACAAGTGTCAGCTTTATAAAGGCTTTCCGAACAATATATTTTAGACTCAGGTAACGCTCGTAGAATCACAATGAAATATAATAGGAAGATATTAGTTAAGATTATTGTTAAAAATAATATTATCACCTCGCAAGTTACGAAATGATGAAAATTATGGATTTATTCATATATAGGTAGGTTGTTACTCCGCACATACTTTTTCAACATTACACTAAGATTTTTTTAAATTTTTTTAAACACAAATATTTTTGGATAACGCTTTCGTTTTATACCCAACGGTTTAATTTGATCCATTTTAATAGGTACCTACTATTAGAAAAAAATAAATGGTTACCGGAAAAACATTAAGGACATGCCCGTTTTTTAAATTATTATTGTACTGATTCAATGAATCGTTTCATGATATGATTGAAATAGGCTACATCGATTAATTAGAATCTGCGTATACGTGAATTTCTGTTTTCACTTTTAATTTTTAAATATAGATTAAACAGTCTTTTGGTAAAATAATATAAGTATTCGTATTTTTGTGAAGTATTTTGTTGTACCCACATAGTGTGTGGCTTATAATGCTAAAACAATAGGTACTAGGCAGGTATTGAAATAAATTATGTTTCAATAATTGCCATCTTTTAAAAAAGTTATAAAGTACCTAATTACACGTATAGGTTAATAATCATGTACAATATATTATATTAACATTTACAGATTCAACTTTGTCGCCATTAAAAAGTAAAATTCGATCATCCATTCAAAATTGCCTCTCTTGTAAAATGAGCTATTAATGGCGCCTTAAGCTCGGGCATACATCGCCTACGCCTTATACCAGCACTATAGTTATATATTATATACATAGGCGGTATATGTACACGTCATCAACTCTATAACACGTAATTATTATTAAAATCAAATTAAATTAAATTAAATTTATTCCAAAAGGATACGACATTACATGTTGTACTAGAATTTAATGTAAATGAGATATAGAGGTACACTTCTTGTGATTTCAGATTAAATAAACTTAATTATTCTATGTAGACAAATCTGATTAAGCATACTGATGCCATAGCCATTCTTTGAAAAGTTAATTTCGACGAATGTATACGCCCAGACAGGAATAATTTATTGTTGAACTGGATCCCAAATAGAATATTATATTTTTAAAATATAGTTATTATTATTTACGTTTGTTTCGTTGGGGAGGCGTGTACTACGCGATTCGTTTGCTTGACGCGTCTAGTTTCGTGACAAAACCTTCTTGGCATTCGTTAGGACCACGGACTGTGTTGTCCGAAATTTTGAATTAATCTTTCTCATGAATCCGTTTTATACAATATGAATTTTTCGAATACAGGGTGATTCACCAAGCACGCCCACACTTTTTTTTTATTCCTCTATAATGATGGATTAATTAAAATTAGGAT